GGGGTGGGTATTAACATCCCCGCCCCTGCCCCCGATTGAACCCGATAAACACAGGTTTTCCCCATTCAAATCGGGAAGAGTTCGGGCGGGTACCCACGGGGGCGGGTTAGATTGCCATGACTAGTGCTTGACTGGATTTTGATGCATAAAGTCAAGTATAATTTTTTGATGGAAAAAGGTTAGGAGGAGTGGTAGATGACTTCTCCTCGAGCCTAAAGAGGCTTGTTGAAAGAATACTTAGTTTTTGAGCCTAGAGAGGCTTCGTTGAAAAGAATACTTGGTGATTGAGCCTAGAAAGGCTTGTTGAAAGAATACTTGGATAGTTGTTTAACGAGACAAGTCAAAGACTACTTAGGCTTGAGCTAGAAGTGACTTGTTTAAAGAATACTTGTATCTTTTGAAAGATAGTGGAACTCAATCCAGTTGGATTAAGAACTGGATGTAGTCTTTATGTTTGAGACGAACCAATATAAAAGATTTGTACTTCTTCATCTGTTGCATTTTAGTACTTCGTTTGTCAAAGTTTTTACTACTTCACTGTAGTTCAAAAAAAGTGCAATTTTTTGATATACACTATTCAACCTCTCCTTCTAGTGTGTATCTTTTTCCAACAAATTTTCTTTCACAATTAAGTTAACGTCAATCCATTAGTTTATTGAAATCCTAATTCCTTAAAAGAAAAATCCTAAGACAACTAATGAGTCAACTTCTATTCTTAGATACAAGCTCTATTAGGTATTTTGTTCAAGTTCTAGATAAGAAAATATATTTTTTAATACCTAATGAATCAAATATCAAGTTATTGTTGATCACTCTACAACAAGCATTAAGAGCAAAAATAAAATACTAAAATTGAAATGGAAAGAAATTTATATACATACATACATACATATATATATATATATATAAATTGGATGAGAGTTTAGTTGGTTACATCTATTCCCAACAAGAATGGACTTAGCTCTTCATTGTCATAAAGAGCACAAAAAAGAAAATAAGATCAATGATGGAAGATGGCGAGCTAAGGGAAGGTTGAAGATGATGAAGGAAATCCTAGCAACACTCCCTAATCGTCCAAAACTCGTCCAGGTCAAAGAATGGTCCAAAACCATCAAAGAGAGAGGGATAAAATGACTCAAAAAGTGTCACATAATAAAAGTGATACCTGACAAAGGTTGGCCCACTTCCGACATAGGCATTAGAAGCATGGAAGAAGTCTCTCTATCAAGGTCAAATTGGACATGGGTATAGTGGTGCCTAACTTGGCGAGACAAGGACTCTCTACCAAGGTGGTGCCCAACATGATTAGAATGGCATTTAATATTGGAGAATCTGATGCCCTCTACTAGGATGGCGTCGGGAGCATGTAGAGTGGTATCCAATGTAGTGCAATCTTCAAGAAAGACTTTTTTTCTTCACTTCATGTGTCCTCTCTTACTTGAATTGCTCCAAATGGGGGATTAGTGATATAATTAAGTGATGACAACCAAATTCTAATTAATTAAAAAAATCATCAAAAGGAGAACTACTTAAGCTAGTTAAAAGCTAAAGAAAAGTTTCTTTTGTTAATGTAAAATGATCAATAATTATAAGTAAAAAATTAATATTATCAATTATTTGTTAAAAAATTTAATAGGTTCTTTAAATGTTGAAGACATATTGCTTTCATCACCACAAAATTTTAAATGTTAATTGGCAACCTATTTATTTACTTAATCCTTTGAAACTTTGACTTTTGGTTTTTTACCTACCAACGTTCCTATGCACATAACATTACCACCTTCCATTACTGCTACATCATCCACCTGCCTTATTTGATATCACTTCTCCTTTCGCAACCCTGCCCTCCACCAAGGAGGATGAATTACAAATAAATGGATTAGGGGGTTTATTGATAGGAGAAAGGGAAGGGACGTATTAGACCTACTTGAGAAGGATACATAAAAGGATCATTTGACCTTATCTTGAGTGAGAAAGGCAAGTCAAATCCTAATCCATAGCTTGTCCATTTGAATGGTATGGGTAAATCCATGCAAGTCTTAAGTTAATACTTTTTTTTTTTACCAATATCTGGTGTTTGAAAACTTTTTTTGTAAACCAATGGAGTGGGGAATAATTTCCTTTATCTTTCCTTTTTCAATGAATTGCACACCCTAAGCTTGTGATTTTTAAAATGATAACTTCTTTCTATTAGAAAAAATGCAAAGCCAAGGAAAGTAAGGAGGAATCCCCTTCAAAGAGCATTCGAGAATCTAAAATGGAGGTTAAAATATGTATTTGAGGAAAAGGCTAAGAAGTTCTTGAGTTGCTTCAAACAATGTGAATATGATATCATGGAACAACTTTAGAAGATTTCCTCGAAGGTTTCCTACCTTTGTTTCACTTGGAACAACAAAACCCACCCCTTCTTTTGCACCCCAATGACATTGTTGTTTTGCAACCTTCTCCAAACACATACTCTCCAAAAAGTTTTCCAATCTAATGAGTCTTGCTTGCTCCTCAACAAGATTAAACTTGGCTTCATTCATAACAACTTGAAACAACTTTTAGTCTTTGTATGATACCAATAACACAACAATTTCTACACTTTGGGCATTTTCTTCAACGTGGTGAGGGAGTTATTGAACAACACTTTTAGACTTTAAAGACTACTTAGGCTTGAGCTAGAAGTGACTTGTTTAAAGAATACTTGTATCTTTTGAAAGATAGTGGAACTCAATCCAGTTGGATTAAGAACTGGATGTAGTCTTTATGTTTGAGACGAACCAATATAACCTATTACAACCCTAAAACATTCTATTGTTAGTAACAATTAACTTTCATTTTATAATGTAAATTAACTTAATTTTATACAAATTAATTAAATAAATAATTGAAAACTAAAATTTGCAACTTTAATAATATAAATAAATAAAATGCGGGCCAGCAAACTAGTATAAGCCCCACGGAACATGTAGAACCATTTCCCAATTGATACAGCCTTCGGACTGGCCCAAAGCAAAGTTACCTTCTCTTGTAA